GGATGTTAATCAACCACTGAGCTATAAGGGCTTTTACAATAACATAATATTATCCACTTTGAGCGGATGGGGATGTTAATCAACCACTGTAAATAAAATATTTTTGCCCCCATGCAGGATTGAACTACGGACCTTCAGTTTACAAGACTGACGCTCTACCACTGAGCTATAAGGGCTTTTATCCTTGGGGATGTTAATCAACCACTCTAAATGTTTTTGCCCCCACGCAGGATTGAACTACGGACCTTCAGTTTACAAGACTGACGCTCTACCACTGAGCTATAAGAGCTTTTACAATAACATAATATTATCCTTGGGGATGTTAATCAACCACTCTAAATGTTTTTGCCCCCACGCAGGATTGAACTACGGACCTTCAGTTTACAAGACTGACGCTCTACCACTGAGCTATAAGGGCTTTTATCCTTGGGGATGTTAATCAACCACTCTAAATGTTTTTGCCCCCACGCAGGATTGAACTACGGACCTTCAGTTTACAAGACTGACGCTCTACCACTGAGCTATAAGGGCTTTTATCCTTGGGGATGTTAATCAACCACTCTAAATGTTTTTGCCCCCACGCTCTACCACTTACAAATATTATCCACTAAACTGACCCTCTACCACTTACAATAACATAATATTATCCACTTTGAGAATAAAGAACATAATATTATCCACATAATATTATCCACTTGGGGATGTTAATTAACCAACGCTCTACCACTTACAATAACATAATATTATCCACTTTGAGAATAAAGAACATAATATTATCCACATAATATTATCCACTTGGGGATGTTAATTAACCAACGCTCTACCACTTACAATAACATAATATTATCCACTTTGAGAATAAAGAACATAATATTATCCACATAATATTATCCACTTGGGGATGTTAATTAACCAACGCTCTACCACTTACAATAACATAATATTATCCACTTTGAGAATAAAGAACATAATATTATCCACATAATATTATCCACTTGGGGATGTTAATTAACCACTGTAAATGCTCTACCACTGAGCTATAAGGGCTTTTACAATAACATAATATTATCCCCACACGTATCAATAGGGATGGTACGAACCTTTAGTTTACAAGACTGCTCTACCACTGAGCTATAAGGGCTTTTACAATAACATAATATTATAATATTATCCACTTTGAGCATAAAAAGATCCACTTTGAGCATAAAAAGACCACGTATCAATCAACCACTGTAAATATTTTTGCCCCCACGCAGGATTGAACTACGGACCTTCAGTTTACAAGACTGACGCTCTACCACTGAGCTATAAGGGCTTTTACAATAACATAATATTATCCACTTTGAGCATAAAGACCACGTATCAATGGGGATGTTAATCAACCACTGGGGGATTGGTACGAACCTTTAGTTTACAAGACTGCTCTACCACTGAGCTATAAGGGCTTTTACAATAACATAATATCCACTTTGAGCATAAAGACCACGTATCAATGAGGATGTTGATTTATTTACTGACGCTCTACCACTGAGCTATAAGGGCTTTTACAATAGTATAATATTATCCACTTTAAGCATAAATACCACGTATCAATGGAGATGTCCAATTTATAAAATTTATGATGTATTTACGAACACACTATAAATTTTACAAAATGTTTTTGCCCCCACGCAAGATTGAACTACAAACCTTCAATTTACAAGACTGATGTTCTACCACTAAGCAACTTTACAATAATATGATATTATCCACTTTGAGCATAAGCTCTCATGACCTTACCTTTTTTTTTTTCCCAAAGGATTTGTTCCAATGGAGATGTATTCCTTACCTATAAATTCATGATCAACCCCTTAATTAACTAATGTGTGACTTCTCTCTCAACAATCTTCCCGTCTAACAAAATAAGTCTCCTCTAAAGCCTATGGAGCACTCGAATAGTCTCCCCTTAATCGAGGCTCGACTCCTTCTCTAGAGCTCTCGAACAAAATACACCATTTGTTTAACACTTGAGTCACTTTTGAATACACGTTCGAAACACACACTTCTTTGTTCGAAAGAATACTATTGACATGACGAAGTTAAGGGCATGACTCTGATATCATGTTAGGATTGTGAGATCCCACATCAGTTGAAGAGGGGAACTAACTATTCCTTGTAACAGTGTGGAAACCTCTCTCTAATAGACTCGTTTTAAAATCGTGAGACTGACGACGATATGTAATAGACCAAAGCGAACAATATCTGTCAGTGGTGAGTTTTGACTGTTACAATTGCATTCTAGTCTTAGTGTATGTCATCGTATTTCCAACTCTAATATGTTGTCCTACATCGTGGAGTCTGTTCTCTATTATAGATAACTACTAGGGAAGTTGACCTAGCTTTAACAGTTTCACAATGCGAATGTGTCATACGCTATGTGGTCCCTTATCCTCCTCATTTTACTATAACATGTCTGCTATATCCTATAGACAACGTAATATTAACTCGGTCGTAAATACTCACACAAATATACACTTAAAATTAATTCCTAAACATAAGCAAGTATAAAATGGGTTTATCCAAATACCTACTACGTGTGTTGATGTTCTCTTTTTACACTAAAAACACTACTAACGCGCTCCAGTTTCTCCTAAATTTATCTGAAATGTCCTACAAGAGAAATTAAGAATGTCTTTGAAGTTGGATTGAAAAATGAGAACGAGCGAGAAACTGACCCTCACACGTTGTTGTGCACTCCCATGCATGACTTATGTGTCACACAATCGCACTCTTGCAATAGCAAGACAACGATTGTACAATGTTTGTTCTAACCGATCGAACAAGTCAGCCTTGTGAAATTCAAACTTTGCGGACAATATCAGTGTATGTTCGAGTCTTGAATCATGTTTTAGAGAAATGTTTTAGAAAATGTGAGCGAGGAAATACGTTAAAAATGATTTTAAAAAAGGTAATGTTATATGCTAAAAGCTAGTAAGAAACAACAACGACCTTGATAGAATATAACTTGGATATCAACGTGTGTTCGAGTCTTGGTGACTGATCATTCGCCCAGCATTAACACAACAAGAAATTTAAAGGCCTATCCAATAGACTTTACCTTAATCTGTAGCTTAAAAGTCTCAATTAAAAATTTTACTAAAATATTTATTTATTGAAATATATCGTGTAGAACTTATTTTCCAAGCAAATCCTTCCATTTTGGACATTTGAGATTGCGTGTAAATAAAAATAAGTCATAATGAAACTTCAAGCAATTATATTATGTAATTAATTATTCAATAAATAAACTATTTTTTTAAAGGACAATTTGGTAATTAAATATTTATTTTTTAATTAATATTTAACTCAATTTTAACTGGTTAAAACTTTACACGGCTCGCTATTAAACTAAAAAAATTATCAAGAGGAAAATTAATAGAAAATACATATAAACTTCAATTTATCCTATTAATTATTGTTATGATTATTTCTCTAATAATTAATTTTTTTTAAAAAAAAAACCTTATAGGTCTTAATTAAAAGAAAGAAAAGAAAATAAAAAGGACTGCTTGGTGAAAATTGAATCCCCCAATCAATTATTGGGTAAAAAACAAACTTACCAAGCAGTAAAAAAACAAGGTGCAGTAAAAAAACAGTGAAGAAGAACAGAAGTGGAAGATCAGTCATCTCCGTGAATGTACCAACAAAGAAGCATGGTGGCGCAACGGCGCAGTATGTAGACACGCGCGCGCTGCTCCTTCACCAACGCCGCGCACCGTCGTGAAAATCCATGTCGCCACCCTGTTGATCTCTTCGCCGATTCCATTTTTATGTTTTTCTTGATTTCGGTTCTTCCTTTTTGCAGCATTGGACCTAAGATATGAATCCACCCACGCTTTTATACGCAAACGCTGCCGAAAATATAAATAATAATAATAATAATAATAAATAAATAAATAAATTTAGATCCTAGTGGGAAATTCTCTTTATGTTAATGCGTGTGAATAGATGAAGTGGTGGATCTGAAAGGAACGTGGGGAGGGGGGGGGGGGGGGGGGGGGGGGGGGGGGGGGGGGGGGGGGGGGGGGGGGGGGGGGGGGGCACGAGGGGAATTGGGAATTTCAAAGGGCGGGGAAGGACAGGCCTTGGTTTGGTTGGGAAGTTTCCCTCTTCATCAAACGCAGCGTTTTAATGTATCAGTTTTTAGCCAGCTGTGTCTTGATCCTTGTGATTCGATATTAATCTTCCTCAATATCTTTATATATGGAGGTGGTCAATTATTTTATTTTTTATTCATACAAAATTCTTCATTATTTGCACGTTAAAAGTTGTAACTTCGTTCGGAGAGAGTTAT